GTCATTCTTTCAAAACTAACGGAAAATCAACTTCAACGTTAATTCGATGAGCAAAATCAACGTTGTTTCAATGTCATGAGAGACGTCGTTTCCACGTTGATTCAATGTCAGTTTGCTGTCTGGGCAGCCTATATAAATATCATATTAAGCAGAAATGTGAAATGTACCTTAGCATATTAGAGGAAGACGCTGATATCTGGATTGAATTGATGCGTGATGAATGCACTTCCACAGCAGTCACGAGTAACAGCAGGAATAGGCGGTTAAAGTTTTCTATGCTTAATTTGAATTGATGACAGTCACGAGACCGATTACTCGATCCAATCACGTTATGGATAAAAAATAAAATTAAAACAAGCATGTAACGAGTAACGACCACAAACAGAAGGAAAATAGCGGAGAAAAAGTACCGATACATCACTTAAAATGTACTCAAGTAAAAGTAAAATTACACAATTTTAAACTTACTCAAAAAAGTACAATTTCTGGAAAAAACTACTTAATTACAGTAACGTGAGTATTTGTAATTCGTTACTTTACACCCCTGACCTTAAACAATGCTATCAGCGACTTTTTCTCTTTTATACTTTTTTTTTATTAAAGGGCACCTATTATGGAAAATTCACTTTTACATGGTGTTTGAACATAAATGTGTGTTGGCAGTGTGTGAGCAAAACCACCCTAGAATGATAAAAATCCATCCAGTAGTTTTTTTTACAATCTCAATAAATCATATGCACTGCCTCAGAACGAGCTGTTCTGAGATCCAGCTCTTTGTGACGTAGAACGGGAGACAGGGGGTTGATTGACAGTGTGGCTGTGGCCTAGACCCCGCCCTCGGTGATCTGTACACACACCATCCTTCATTGTTTCAACGTCGACAGCCGGTAATGTCTCTGTTGGAAACGTTTATGTTCTGTCGTGGACTCGTGGGTTAATCCTGTTGTTGTGGTTTAAAAGTTAATCCTCAAGTGTGGATTGTCGTCTACTGTTTGCGATCCACCGTCACCTCCAGTAACAGTAAGTGTATTTTATGATTTTTGAGCAAATAGTCTTTTCAGTCAATGTCAGCCAATTCAACAACAAATGTAACCACACATTTATAAATATATATATTTTTAAAGGTATTGTATTAAAAACTGCATATATGTTGGTGTTCTGTAAGTTAGCCATCTTCTCACATTTGCCACAGAAGCACCTATGACAAGTAGCTAAACATTACGCCACAGGTCCCTCGCATAAATGTAATTTCGCTCGTACGTAGCAAACTTTATCACAGAATGTGTATGTAGTTTCAAAAAATTGCGCTAGTGTGTGTGTGTGTGTGTTTCATTTCAAATGGGACACTAATACAACTCTAAAGTACATAAAAGTATCAAATAACCATACCGAGACGTACTGGTCCATTCTCATTTGTTTATTCTGCCGGAGTCTCTTTATACTATTTATATATTCGGATTCAAACGTACTCTGAATGACATTCAATACGGCGCGTCTCTTCACTCTCTCAGTACCGACTGCCTGCCATAGGTATCAAGTTACGCCCTCATCCAATGGCAGGGCGGGGATATGCAGCTCATTTGCATTTAAGGTGGAATACCCCCTGAAACAGCTCATTTTTAAGCAGGCCCCAAAATGACATTTTCAAATGGTTATAATAAATTAACTGTGGGGTATTTTGAGCTGAAACTTCACAAATACATTCTGGGGACACCTGAGACCAATATTACATCTTGTAAAAAGGGGCATAATAGGTGCCCTTTAAGGATTTTCAAATAATACAAACATCAAAAACAAAAATAGACAAACAATCAACAAACAAACCCCGGGCGCTGCAAGTTGAATAAATTGTACAATATACAAACATGTCAGTATTGCAAAGAAAAAACAAAACAAAAAAACCATGAAAATATTTTTCAAAATAAAGTTATTCAAAATTTTAGCAGGAAGGATTGGAGAGGTTCCCAAAGTCTCCTGAAGTTGTCCTGTTTGTGGTTGAGGTCATAAGTTAATTTCTCCAAGGGGAGAAAGGCTGACAGCTGGGAAATCCACATAGAAATAGTAGTAGACCATTTCAACAAAATACATTTCTTAGCCAGGAATATGAGAGCTGTAATCAGAGGTTTAAAGTCTGAGTCAAGCAGGTCAATAGGAATGTCATTCAGCAGAAAGAGTGAGGGAGATAAAATGAAATATTTTCCTGTTATCTCCTGTATTGCAGAGTGAACCCCCTTCCAGAATGGTTGAATAAGAACACAGGACCAAAATACATGAAACAAAGTGCTCTTACAAGTCTTGCATTTGAAACAGAGGTCGGAACAACCTGGAAACATTTTATGCAAACGAACAGGTGTAAAATAAATTTTATGAAAGAATTTAAAATTTTGCTCATGTATGGAAATTGAGGTGCATTTTGGAAAAATACCATCACAGATCCTGGTCCAATTGTCGGGGCCAAACTGAACTCCCAAGTCTCGTTCCCACAATGGCTTCAGAGAATCGTAAACTGAGGAGTCAGAGTAAGCTAGTAAGGTATAAAGTCTGGAAATAAGCCCCTTGAATTAATTGACTGACATAGTTTCTTCCAATTCCGATAAATTGAATCGAAATTTATTTTGCTTTATAAGAGACTCTAAAAAGTGCCGAATTTGTAGGTATTTAAAAAAGTCTTCAGAGGGTATATCAAACTCTGTTCTAATTTGTGAAAATGATTTCAGAGTTTCAGAGATAAACATTCCTGAAAAATCAGACAGACCTCTAAAACCCCAATCCAGCAGCCCGATGCTTCTAATCTGAGTGGGAAAGTCTGGGTTCAGAGCCAGGGGGGAGTGAATGGAGATATTTGGGGGAATGTTCATATGTTTTTTTCACATCCCTCCAAACTAGTAATGTATTATGGACAATCATGTTGTCAGTGAGAGAGTTTAACTGAGTGTAGAGAATTGAGGCGAATCAAACACAACTTGATCAAATTAACCTCTCATGGGATTAATTCACATGGATTCAACACTCCAAAGGATCTGGACACCACATTCCAAACTAGTCCCAATGCGGCTCCATGCTGTCTGCAGAGAAGGACTTTTATTGCCCCACAGGCCCAAGAGATGGGCACTAAACAGGAAGAACATGTCAATATGTTAATGGTTTTACCATGACAAATCGGCTCAGAAATGGTGGAACAAGAGACCTGACCACCAAAAGCCTGACCACCTTTGACCTCCCTCAGCATCATCTCTGTTGAGCGGGACAGAGACATAACACAGACCCCTACTCCTTGAACATACCACGACCTCACTGTTGAGATCTCTCGAAGATCTCACACATAAAATCATATAAACTTACCACAGAACAATTCATGGACTTATAACCAAACATCATAATTCTTATTATGTGTTCCTACAATTCATATGTTGATGTGTTCTGCTTATATCACATATTAATCATGTAATTGTTGTTAACTATTAACTCTTGTAATTGTTATACAACCATTAGAAGTGTGAATGCCTCGTTTACTCTCAAACGAACCGTATTCTCGTAATTCAAAAGATGGCTTGATTGAAATCGGTGTAAAAGGTTTTGTTTTATGATTATAATAATCATAAGGTTTAAACTATGGTCTTTTGTCTCTCTGCTAAGTGCTGGAGACCAGCTCACAGACCATGCATAAATTATGGTAAGCAAGAAGTAGATCCACCTCCTAAAGTGATGCCGTTATCTCATTGGCCAGAAGTTTCTGGGAGTTTTAAGTTAAAGACCCGAACAAAGGAACAAGACCTCATGTTCCGTCCCTAATGTTCCGTCCCTAATGTTCATTTGCAGTTAGATTTCTGTTCGTGTTTCCAGTTTGTAAGTTCGTGCCTCTCTCTAAAACCAGCAAGAGAGTGTTCTGTTCTTGCTTCTCTCTGAAACAAAGAGCGTGTTCGCATGCTTCTACATCGGCTAGACCAAATTCTACCAGCAGACACAATAACCCATCCAGATCGGGGTTAAAACAGCTTCATTTAAGCCATCTAACTCGCCTTACTTCCATTTCTTTCCTTTATTTTCTTTTTCGTGAAAAGTCTCGGTTCAAAGTTAAGTTTGCTGCAAAGTTCGTTTTTAAACGTCTTCCTGCAACGCGCTTCGAAATCGTAAAGACTTTTCATTCGGCTGCTAGTCACACGTGACAGACAAGCTCAGGATCTTCCATCCAGGCACTTCAAAGACAACCCGCCACGAGGACCCGGGGAACCGCCCTTCGATGCAACGCAACAAAGGAATCCCCTAAGCCACGCAAAGACACAAGCAAGTACTTCAGACTCTTAGCTGAACTGGTGCTTTAATGTAAATTGAATAACCTCTCTAAGAAACGAAGGTTCAAATTTTTCCTAGCCTGATTTAATTTTAGCCTCTGCTTTGAACGCTCTGTTTGAAGGGGCGTGTCTGCTGTGGGATTCAATGTAACCGCCCACTGCTGTGATTAGCTTACATGCTTGCATATGAAATAGCTACATATTACATGTGAAACTCTCTTGAATACTTTTACTATTATACGTTTTTACTATTAGATATCGAGATTACTGAATCGTGAGAAGTTTTTGAAGTATTTAGATTCTCATCACATAAAATGTTGCTGTGATGAGCAATGAGAAGCAGATGACAGTCTGTCGATTGCGAGAATGAAGATCTTATTGTATAACGCAGTTTCTGCACTCTCTGCTTTCACCAATGTAGACACGATGATGTTGTTATGGATTTTTCTTTCCTGAACCTGACTACTCTACAATAATACTCACTCTAGTTGACCAAGTCTTATACTTTTACCTCAGCGCGTCTACAGTCGACGTCCTGCTAAGCCATAAACCTACCCTATACCTCAGCGCGTCTACAGTCGACGACCTGCTGGGTACTAATCCTATAACCCTAGCGCGTCTACAGTCGACGACCTGCTGGGTACTAATCCTATAACCCTGACGCGTCTACCGTCGACGTCCTGCCAGGTGTTAATAATTCTAACTTACTTGTTTTTGCTGCGCAGCATAAATGACAGACAGACTTCAGCAAATGTCCTTCAGATGCTCTTTATTTCAGCTGGGAGTTCTCGAGCAGTTCTCAGAGAATCTCAACTTCAAAGAAGAAGTACACATGTTTTATATGATAATGCCAGACACATTAAAAAAAGAATCATCATGACTACTTATTTCATTATGACTGTAAATGTCACACTCATTCAATATGATTGGTTACACTGTTTAAAACAAGCCCCATCCTCTCATCATCCTTTGTTAGTGACGTCAGCAAAATATCCTATATCCTCAAAAACAGTTAGTAAGGGGTTAACATTTCAGTAAATCACGTCCTAATAAAGTAAAAGAACAGAACGTTCAATTCATTGTCAAAGCTATCTTGAACAAGGTTACATTAAGTCAAAAAGTAGTTTGATGGTTAGTTCATATTGAAAGTTCGTCTCATGGCTACATCCTAAATAGAAGGAACTAAGATTCATCTTTTTTTATTGTTAGATCTAGATTAGAAAGTTTAGTCACCTTGAGACAAAGAAGTGGAAGTATGATAGGTTTTATCACATGTTAGAAATATAAAATCAGAACTTTAGGGTTAGTTAACATAATTAAACTTTGAATGTTAAAATTTCTATAACATTCCCCTCTCTGGTCGTAAATTGTCACGACCACACAAAGAAAATTTTAAAACTGCCAGATCATCATCTTAATTCTGAGAAAGTATCAAATTATTGATTCCTGACTGGCTGATTTTGAGCATCTGCATTTGGCAGACCCCGTATAATAGCAAAATTACGGTATTGAGCCTCTGCTTGCTCAATCGGGCTCAACCGTCTTACATTTATCAGGGGCAATGAACCCCGATTAGTCGGGTGCAACCGCTCATATCCACCTTCTCTTTCTCCCTCCTCTTCATTATCTCTCCTCCCAATGCCTCCCCAAACAATGCTTCTGATGAACCTTTCTAGACAAGCTCGGATACATTTAATCAAACATCCAATAATAATTGCTGCCATGAGCAAGGCAGCAATTACTGGCAACAAAAGCTTTAATAGCGGTCCGAAAATATTACCAAAAGCATTGCGGAAGGCATCAGTGATCCAATCTAAGTCCCATTCTACTGGTTTGTTCTTTGCCTGTTCATCCTGCCACAGATCGTCCCGCACCTTTCTCATATCGTCCAGTACTTTTGAGATGGAACTCCCATCCTCATCATAGGCTGGAATGAAAGTACAACATTCTTTTCCAAGTTTAACACAAACTCCCCCTTCCTCCGCAAGAATTCTATCCAATACCATTCTGTTCTCCAGAGTCATTTGCCTGAGGGCCCCCACTTCATTTTTCAAGAGTTCTAAGACTAGTTGGGTGTCATTTGCAAATCGGAATAATTCATAATGGATTCTATTTATCCAGTTCATTGAGTCAGTTACAGCATTATGGATGAGGAAAGCCTTCCAAAACTGAGATGTTCTGGAAATTACACGGCTCTCTTCAGGTATGTCAGAAATGTCATGTCTCCACCAAGTGTCATCCCTCGTTTTTAAAGCTCTGGTTCCTCTTTTGTTTTCTTTCCCCACATAGCCAACTCTAATTCTTGCTCTTAGCTGAACTAAAGCACAGAGACCATGCCATGATACAGGCAGACTGGGATATGCAGTATGACCGCACAACCAGTAGTGGTCCAGGATGAGGTAAGCTCCTCCTGCAAGATACTCACTCATACCTGTGGGATCATAACAGCTAACATTATGGATTGTCTCACATCCCTTCAGGATCCCCATGAATTTATTTCCCTTTCTTGACCTGTAACACTCTTTAAATTTCTGGTCTGGCAAAGGCCAGATCCTTTTCTTCCCTTCGGTAGAGAGAGAAAGAATTGGTACTGGGACAGTTACGTTATAACAATCGGGAGGAAATCTTCTACGGAAAATTTCCCGAGAACATACTGATCCCGGCCCAGCTATCTGAGACAGGATACACTTCAATTGGTGACCCTCTACTGGCTCTGGCAACAGAGGATATGGATAAGCGGCAGAGAAGGAGGCATGGGCGCAGACATAACAATTTTTGTTAGGTGCGAGTTTCTTAGCTGTGTAATTAGCATATTTCCAGAACAAATTTAACCCATAGTGATTCTTGTCAGTGTCAGATGAGTAGTCACGATGAACAGGCAAAGCTTCCCTTCTCTTCCTACTTTGGTCACATCCTAGAGGAAATTCAAAGAGAAACAGAAATAATATCAACATCAACATACTTGAGCATATAACAACACACATACTGTACTTGAACACCTTGTTTAACCACATTCGCTCCCAGCTGTACTGGTCGTCCCGTTGGCCCCACAGACGTCTGAAACGCTCCATCTTCACCCTTATGACTCTTTGCGAGCCGTAGAAGGGTCTTTCCCTCGGCGGCAAGGGAGGTACGTTAACCAGCACGTCCTTTTTTCCCTTACTTTTCAGTTGATGGCGGTTGGTGGGGCTTACAATGTGACACGTGAACCCAGGCGTCACGCTCAGCAACCTTGATTGCTGTATTTGTTGTTAGAATAATCTCATATGGACCCAGCCACCTCGGGTTGTTCCACGCCTTACGTCTGTGATCCTTGATCCAGACCCACTGTCCTGGCTCGTAACAGTGCTGTGTTTCCGTTCCTGGAACCGGCAAAGCAGCTTTGACCTGGGAATGAATTGTTTTGATAGTTCTGGTTAGTGACAGTATATATTTTCTCATTTGCTCATCTACTCCCGCCAAACCCTCCTGGGGAGGAGGTTCGATTCCTACTCGCATGGGCCGACCTGTAAGAATTTCATGTGGGCTGAGGGTTGTCCTCGTCCCTTTTCGGGCCCTTATGGCCATTAAAACAATGGGCAGAGCCTGAACCCACGTCATTTCAGTCTCAGCCATAACTTTACACAATTTGTTTTTTATTGTCTGATTCAGCCTCTCTACTGCCCCTGCTGCTTGTGGCCTGTAAGAGCAGTGTTTCCTCAAATTTATTTGAAGTCCTTTTGCCAATTCAGTTATTACTTTATTTACAAAATGAGTTCCATTGTCACTAGACAATTTTTCAGGTACCCCCCATCTGGGAATTACCTCTCTTATCAGAGCTTTTGCTACAGCCGCAGCATTAGCTTTCCTGCATGGGAAACACTCAACCCACTTTGAAAACATGTCAACAATCACAAGACAATATTTATACCCTTGACAAGGCGTCAATTCAATGAAGTCCATCTGTAGATGCTGAAAAGGAAGATCAGGTGTGGGGTGGGCAGAGTAAATAGCTTTTTTACTCTGTCTTCCCACATTATTTGCTGCACAAATATGGCAACTTCGGCAGAATTTTTCTGCCACTGATGTAAATCCTGGAGCCACCCAGGATGTACTTATCAGATCATTCATAGCCCCTTTCGAGGCGTGGTCCAATCCGTGAGCCCAATTAGCAAAATTAGGGTATAATTGTTTAGGTAGAAATGGTTTGTTTGTTCTAGTATCATTCCAGACACCTTCGTCATTTTTTACTCCCCTCTCTGACCATTTCTTTAATTCCCAATTTGTACCCAGTCTCTGAATTTCGGTTAATGACGGTGGTACTTGTATACTGTCGGTAGAAAGGGATGCAAAACCTATAAAGTCAGTCAGTCTGCATCCTGTCAGCGCTGTGTTTTTCGCTACTGAGTCAGCAAAATTGTTACCTTTTGATACCTCATCCCCGGTTCTCATATGTGCTGCGCATTTGCAAATAGCAATTTCTTTTGGCATCAACAAATTCTCGAGTAATTTATCAATCAATTTTGAATGTGCCACCGGTTTTCCGTTAGCAGTGAGAAAACCCCGATTTTTCCAAACTGCCCCATGGTCATGACATACACCGAATGCATAACGTGAGTCGGTATATATAGTGACCGAATGGCCCTTGGCCAATTCACACGCGCGCGCAAGTGCTACAAGTTCTGCTGCTTGAGCCGAATGATTTTGTGGCAAACATCCAGTTTCAATGATGTCCAATTTTGTGCAAATTGCATATGCCGCCGAAAGCAATCCTGTATGTGGATTTCGGAGACACGATCCATCCACAAAATAAACCAATTCAGGATTTGGTAATGGTGTGTCTAGTAAATCGAGACGTGGTCTTGTCATTATTTCTACCACTTGAGTACAATCATGGGGTTCCCCATCTTCTTCAGTTGGTAGCAGTGTAGATGGATTTAACACAGTGCACCTTTTCAATGTTACATTTGACATTGTGAGTAGGACATTTTGCCAATGCAGTGATCGGGCAGCACTAAGATGAGCTGTCCTTGACTGCATTAACAAAGCGTGTACTGCATGGGGAACATACACTATTAGCTGATGGAAAGCCACCAAATCTGAACATGCCAATACTGCTTCGACCGCAGAGGCTACGGACCGTAGCACTGGGGCATGCCCTGTGCGACAGTGTCTAATCGTTTCGAATAGTATGCTACTGGACGTCGACGATCGCCATGAGGTTGTGTCAGAACAGCAGACATAAACCCTTTTTCTCAGACACGAATAGTTCAAAAACTTTTGTATAGTCAGCCAACCCTAGGCTAGGCGCAGTGGTAAGTGATAACTTTAGTTTTTCAAATGCCATTCTTCGCTCTTCTGTCCAGGTTACTGGATCAGTCAATTTTTGAACCTCATGAGCTGCCATGAGCAGAGGATTTGAAATTTCAGCATAATCTTGAATCCATGGTCTACAGTACCCCGTTACCCCTAGGAAAGACATTGTCTGTGACTTTGTAATCGGTTTCGGAATTTTTCGGATCGCCTCAATTCGATCTAGGCCTAAAGCTCGGCCATTTACTGAGATAAGGTGGCCCAGATATCTCACTTCCTTTTTGACTAACTGCAACTTATTTTTAGACACTTTATGTCCATTTTGTGACAAAAAATTCAACAATGCACGTGTATCACATTCACAGGAGGCTTTGTCTGGAGAACAGATTAATAAATCATCAACGTACTGAATTAATGTACTCCCCTTTGGTGGGACGAAACTTTCCAAATTTCTAGAAAGTTCTTCTGTAAATACAGTTGGAGATTCTGTGTAGCCCTGTGGCATCACAGTCCAGGTCCAGCGTTTATTTTTAAATGTAAATGCCAACCAATATTGACTATCTGGATGAACTGGAATTGAAAAGAATGCATTTGCCAAATCAATCACGGTAAAATGAGTAGCGTTGTTGGGTATCTCAGATAAAATTGTTGATGGATTCGGAACGATTGGGGAGCGCGGCTGAATAGCCGCATTCACCAATCGTAAATCCAGCACAAACCGCCATTCACCTGATGCCTTCCTCACAGGAAGTATAGGTGAATTTATGGGTGAATTTTGACAAGGCACAATGGCACCCTTCTCAACCAACGCAGCGTGCACTTTCGAAATTCCCTCGACAGCTTCCTTGCTGAGAGGATATTGAGACCTAAATGGCCTATATTGCGTCTTTGGTGTGATAACGAGAGGCATTGCATTCTTTATCTGTCCAATGTCAAATTTATCTTTAGCCCAAAGGGTTTCTGGAATTCCTGACAATAAATCAAAATCATTATCAATCTTATCAGGAATGAATTTTCTTTCCTCGCTGCACAACCTGTGAACTGTTACTTTTTGCATTGTTGGATATGCTCTTACCCCTGCATCATTTTGATAATGTCCCTCATCATTCCAAGTCCAACCCCCTTTCTCAACCTGCTCTGTGAGCCACACTCCTACTTCCGCCCAAGAGCTTCCTTTCTTTCCCACTGAGACATGAGGCTGGACTTGCAACTGTCGAAAGAAAATGGATTGAGAATTTGTTAAATTTACAGTAAATGCAGAGAATTGTTGTGATATTAAGAGATATTCAAGAGTTATTTTCTCACCCGGAAGCTCACTTAACCATTTTTCCTCATACTCACTGTCTCTCTCGGGGCCCACAAACCACGATGTACAATGGAAATGAGGTGGCTTTTCATGATCTGCCGGTAAAAACTCATACTCTGAATATGGGTCAAATGCGGGTGTTATAGCCCAGTTATAATACATATTTGGTAACATTTGAGCAAAATTTCCATATTTTTGTGTCACTGTTATTCCTTCACATGAAACATCAATTGTCATTTCCAATTTAGACATCAAATCTCTACCTAATAAATTTAGAGGACATGTTTCAGAAATCAAAAATGGGTGTGTGCATGTTTTATTTCCATTTATCACTGTTAATGGCTCTGATAGTTTATCAATTTGTGCTAAACCTGAAATACCATATGTTGTGCGAGTTTGATCAGAAAGTGTCAGTTTGTCAAACCTGGATGCAGTCTTGATTGTGATAATTGAGAAAATTGCACCGGTGTCAACAAGAAATTCAACTGGAAGTCCTTGAACAGTTAATGTCATCATTGGGTTTGAGTTTGAGTCTTTTGTTAGTTGTAGCAATTGAGTGTCAGTCTTCATTGAGTTTGAGTTTGTCAGATGTGTGGCTGGTTGAGTGTCTCTCTCCTCATCCTATGCAGTCCGATACGTCGTGGGGGCGGGTGGAATGAGGAAGCTCTCTGCTCTCTGTAGTTCTGCTTTCTTGCCTGATAGCTCTCCTGTTGTGGATGACGTTGTTGTTGCTGTTGCTGTGGGTAGCGCTGTTGTGGCTGACGTTGCTGAGGAGAATAGTTTTGACAGCTTCTAGCCCAGTGTCCTCTCTGTCCACAGATTCTGCATCTGCCCGCAGTCTTTATCCGAATCTCTCTCTCCTGCTGTTGATCCCACCTACTATTTCTTGACGGTTGGTTGTTGGATTGACTTTGGTAGAACATGTACTGGGCAGTCTGCAACTTATTTTCCTTTTCTGTGTTCTTCTTTTCATCATTGTGTTCGGCATGCTTTGCGTGCTGCATCACCACTTCAAGATCCTGTGCTTCCCATGCAATGCAGGTCAGTCGTACAGCTCCCTGAATGTTTGGAAGGAGGCCGTTGACAAAGTGATGTTTCAGGACCCCACTGTTGTCAGTTCCTTCTGGAAGACCTGCACATTCATCAACAACAGTCTTTAGTCGTGCAAGATAAGCAGAGACTGTCTCACCTTTCAATTGTTTCGTGTTAGTGATAGCGGCCCAGTCAGGTTTTATGGGGAAAGCCAACCTCAGCCTTTCAACCATTGCTGTCCACTGATTTCTCCACTCTTGAGTTTCAGTTCCTCCTTCATCCAGTCGTGGCAGGGCGGGGTTGAATGCAGCAGCAGGAGGAGTCCCACGAATTTCAGTCCATTTCAGACCCATCTTGCCACTGAAAATTGCAGCCCAGTCTCGACCTGTGGGTTTATAAGTCACATCAACATTTGTAACTGCGGCAATAAAACGTTCTACTCCCTTTTCTGGATTTGGGAGGGCTGCTGTCACATTTCGTAATTCCTCCAGATCCCACGGCCTTTCCAGCCACACGGGACCGTCTGCACCTGGAAACTGGAGCATAGGCAGATTATAAGCTTCTTTGGGTCTTTTCTCAGTTACAGAAATTGCTCGAGTTTTCATTGGGTGTTGGAGAGGTGGTTTTTCAGCTGCCTTTCTTTTGACACTTTTAAACACACGTTTGAGTGGCGTTTTCAGTTCTGGTGTCATTGCTTCATCTAACAGTTTTCTCACCTCTCTGTAGATGCCCCCTTCTTCACTCTTATCCTCATCCGAACTCTCACCCTCCATTTCAACTTCCTCTTTTTCCTGGAGCTGTCCTGCAGAGCCTCCATCTCCTAATGCAGGTCGAACTTCCCCTTCTTCAGTGTCTGCAGCAGCCGCTCTGTACGGAGGGGGCCTTGAGATGGGTGGTGGCTGAATATCATCCAATTCCTGCTTCCTCTTTTTTGTCTGCAAAGCAATCAGAGAATCTGCAGCCCGCTCACCTTCTTTTTGGCTCTCGTAGCGCATCTCAGCCTCCCGTTCCCATTTCCGAAACAGTGTCCAGTCAATCTTCTTTCGTTTCTTTGGTGGCAAATTTTCAAGGAGACGTCGTGTTTCTCCTAAAATTGACACACTCCAAGTACCACAATCAGCAAACTGACCCTTTGTTAATTTTGACCAGAGTTTAATTTGAGCAATTTGCTCCTCTCCCAACTTCCACTTCCTGATCAATTCTTTAAACGGACCCTGAATTTCAGTTTTTTCAGTTTTCTCTTTACCACAACAATTACCCATTTTATTTATTTATTTATTTATTTTTTTATTTTTATTTTTTTTTTTTAGTCAGAAGCAGTTCTTCAATTGCAGAAAGATCAGCAAAACAAAATCAAAGAAAATAAAAGAAACAGTATGCAAAAAGAAGGAAAAGCAAGTTCTTCGTTGCACAAAAAGAAACACAAAAACAAAATTAAAACATAGAATAAAAAACAATATGCAAAAGAAGGAAAAGCAAGTTCTTCGTTGCGCATAAAGAAAAAATTAAAACATAAATTCAATTTACTGGGTATATGTCAGAAGTGTATCTCCAAGCCCAAATTTGTGGATATCTCGGAATCCTAGCAATAGGAATTAATCCTAATCCACCTGTGGATCTGTCTATATAAGGTCTTAAATGCGGCTTGGTAATTAAATATAGAGATGTTTGTCCTACTAATAACTCTGGTCCTGGTTGAGGTTGATGCCACGCTCTAGTGCATCCAATCCCCAACACGGCAGGATCTTCCTCAAATATTTGTTCTATCTGGCCACTTAATCTCAACCCTATACGTCGTTGTAAATACGTATATCTTGTTAAAAAGAAATTATATCGTTGTGGCGAATTTATTTGACTTTCGTCTTCTCCATAGGATAATGGGATACACCGTTTAAATCTGGGTGAAGCCAGTTCTTTTTTTTTAACCCTGGGTACAGCCAGATCTCTTTCCCTCTTTTTTTTTTTTTTTTTTTAGATAATTTCCCAATTAAATTTCATACTTCTAAAATCCCCCTTTTAGATTTTACAAATATGGTAAAATTTCAATTTCAACAGACAACCAAACAAAAACACACAAACAAACAACACAGAACAACTAAAAAAAAAAAAAAAAAAAAAACGTTCCAAATTCTTATTCTAAAAAAAATTATAAATTTTTTTCAGACGTTCAAAAAAGTTATATATATATTTTTTCTTTTTCTTCTATACATCAAAAAGAAAACAAAAACTGAAGTCTGTGTATCTTACCTTCCTAAATTCTTTTTTCTCTGCCCGTCTAGGATGGTCCTCCCGTCGGTGTAGAGTCTGCTGCAAGTTGGCAGAAATGAAATCAATATCATGACAAATACAAGTTCCTTCTTTCAGAACTTATATCTTGTGTTCCGCTCTTCCGGATCGTCCCTTCACCGACGGAGGACCAGTCCTTGGGCTCCTGGCTGGCTCGCCAAATTGTTATGGATTTTTCTTTCCTGAACCTGACTACTCT